AGGCTAGCTCTCTAATTGAATTTAAATTAAATTAAAATTGTTTGTATGACAAACATTGCTGAATTTTCTCTCTTTTAATTGCAGCCACTTGTAATTATAAACTGAATTACAAAATGCATTACAGTCAAATAACTAGAGTGAACATACATTTTCCACTGTTTGCATTTTTCATTCCTGCTGTTTTCTTTTTCTAAGCTCAGTCACAAAAACATAGTTTAACACTGATTTCCCCGGGGTACAATTGGAATTACACTATCGTAGGCTTCCATAAATGGTTTGGACTGGCAGGTCAATGCCTTTACTTAGTTAATTTGGAAAATATCTTACTCAAAGAAAAAAGTAATCAAGATCCATACGCAAATTGAATAATAATTGCTGTATTGTAAGTACATATACCACAGCAAATGGGAAAGGAATGGTAATAAAATAGCTTTATCTTACATTATATAAGAATGTATATAGAGAAGTTAAAACATAGAATTTTTGTTTTTCATTTTCGATTCGGCAACTTTATGGGTCTGTTATTTGCAGTTGTTTGCTTTTGCAGTTTCTTTTACCTTCATTACATGCTTTCTTTAACATATTGAATTCCTTGCAACTGTAGAAAAGGTCGATCTTATATCTTTTACATATACATTTCTTGTTTAGAAGTGTTTTTTTAATAGAAGCACTGACATTAATAGACATTGTAATTATTAACCACTACTTATTTTATTTTCTACAGGACACCCTACTTATTTTGGTTTTCTGCATCATCCTTAGTACTAGAGGTATGTGGGATCCTAACACAAGGTCTCCATGCACCATATTTCAGGAGGAGGAGAGAAAATCAATCATATTTCTTATGTTTTAGAAGGGTCCTGAATACAGATGTAATGTAATGTGATGTTTAATATTACAGATTTTTCTTTATCACATCATTGAGCTATGCACTGTGCCAATCTCTGCTGTGGAACTGAAAGGTTCGGTGTAGTGAGGGTTGTATAAGGTTACTAAGATACCTCCCAACATTAGAAGGTATAGAGTGAGCACAGCCGTCAAGCACGCCTCAGCCAGCCTGGCCCCAATCTACAAAACCATGCTGAAAGTGCTGCAAGAGCATTTAATAATGTACTCACACTGTGGTGCTGTCTGAAATATAATTGTAGATTATACTAAGGTAGTGTATTTATAATCTTAATCTTAGTAATAACAGGCAGTGAATTTTTTGCATGAACTTTCTTTACTAAAATCTCCAGCAGCGCAGATCAATCAAGATAAATGAACCAATCAAAATAAAGTATCCAAACATATATAAGACTCTAACACCCAAAACTCCTCTTTCTTTTGTGCGGAGTAAACAGTTAAAATGGAAATAGGAGGATGGAATTGTAGATAACTTGGTCATATCCAACAAAAGAACCATAAAGATATGCATCTTTGGTAGTAGGCATGGAGTTTCACACTGAAAAGAACAGAAACTAGTGTAAGGCGTTTAAAGTGACAACGTGTCCATATATTTAACTTAAGCATTATCATCAGAGTGCTAAGCACATATATATATACAGTAATCAACAATGGTAATCAAACTAGACCATCAAAATGGACAAGACAATAAGCCAAATAACATAAATATAGAATAGCAAGGCAAGGAATAGTCATCTCCTTTTATTACTAAAATTAAGGTTATAAGTATATCTACGATTTTACCATATGACAGGAGTCTTCATAGTTCTTTTTTTAACGCTCAAGGAAGTAAAGTGAAAGGAGTGTGAGAAGAAGGACAAAAGTAAAGAACTAATAACATCTGACATAGAGGCACCCAACGAATAGGCATGCAACACTGCCACGCCTTGAACTGAATGCACCCTGTAACAGGAATCGATCCTGGGCAGGGACAAAAGCCAATGCACCCATCTCACCAGAGAAGTGATAGACACAGGATTATGAGGTTTGCATTCAAAACAAGTAGTTGTCCAGTCTGGCTATGATGAAGAGGAGCTGTAACTTCTACATAGTGTAGGAGCATCTTAACAATGCAGATATGTAGGGCGGTAGAGAAAAATGTATAAAAACTGAGAACGAGTTCGACTTCCTATGACGCGAAACCGAAAAAGAAACCTTGTCAGGAGAAAATGGGAGACCATTCACATCGAGGGCTCACACATTCGCAGCACAATGGAATGAAAACAAGCAGAGCCAAAGTGTCAGTTTTGCCAAATGTTGATATAAGGACAGTGACGAGTTGTCCAACCAATTCCGCAGAAAACATGAGACCACGTAGATGTCCTAGAGACGAGAGTGTTTTGGAGTATGTGCCAGTCGAACACCCCAAAGCAGTCAGCAGAGAAGAGGGTCTGGGTAAGCCCTGAACTGCCGAAATGGCCGACCAGTATACGTTAATGAAGCAATACGAACGTCCCGATGAAATGATAACAAATTTTATAGGAAAGGAGCAGGTGCAGTAAAGTGATTGGAATCTTTCTCCAAACACAAATTAGTCCACTTGTTCCAGGCAGCAGGGTTCATCCGTAGAGGAGTCTGCACAATGAGCAAGCCAACCCCACAGACTGGTATCCAATTTCACCACAAAGTCTAGTGATAGACCAAATATGGTTTTCCCATTCCAGGCCTGCGTGCAGGAGCCACCGGCGTAAGTCCGTCCAAACCTCCACGTTGAGAGATATACGTTGATCGTAGGATAGGCCTGAGCAGAAGTAATGCACTTTCAGACATTTCATGACTCTGTAGTGTAAGGGACCTGGGTAGATGGCCTTGATTGAAGTCAATAGAAGAACCACCACTTGAGTGAGAAGGCAGAGTGGAATGTGATCCATCTAAAGTATCTTTTGGATATCTTTTCAAATGGTCGCAATTTTTTGGAGTGGCAGGCATAGTATGGATGAGTCCATCTTGAACCCCTGGAACTGAACGATCTGCGAGGGTTTCGAGTGATGATTTCTCCCTGTTCACCACGTATCCCAGTGATTTGAGGAAGTCTACAGCAAAGTTTGTCTGAGAAGTAAGTCGGGAAGGCAAATCGCAGAATATAAGCAAGAGGTCCAGGTAGATAAAACATCTGACCCCTCGGGACCTCAATCGCGCTACAATTGGTTTCAAGAGTTTTTTGAAGCACCATGGGGACAAACTGATGCCAAACAGGAGACATGTGAACTTGCATGACTGTCCTTTCCAAACGTACTGAAGAAATCTGTGACAAGCCTGTGCTGTCAGTACCGATAGGTATGTGTCTTTCAGGTCGAGATGTGTGAACCAATCGTCTTTGAAAAGCAGGTCGTGCAGCAGATGAATTTCTTCTATCTTAAAGTGCCTGTACACTACGAAGGCATTGAGTTAGCGAAGGTTGATAACCGGACGTAAGTTCCCCATTTTCTTCTGCACTAAGAAGCACTAAGAAGTATTCCCCATCGTCTTGTACGAACTGAACAGTGCCTTTGGTGTACAGGGATCGGGTTTCCTCGTCGAATTGGTGTCGGAAGGTGTGGTTGATGAGGTATCAAAGTGAATTCAATGATGTAACCTTGGACCTTGTTGTAGTATCCATGCATCTGATGAATTTCCCAATTCTGTAAGAAAAAAGAGAGCTTTCCTGCAGTCAATGTAATAGAGGAAGAGTGGAACATGAAACCCACCTGAAGGGGAAGTGTCCACGCCTCTGTAACCTCTGGATCTGTCCGAGCCTCTATAGAAGGACATTATCTGGGCTGCAGACACAGGGTAGAAGTTAGTAGAGGTTAGGTTAAGCCTGTGGCCAGAAGCCAAGAAACGGGTTGTGGCATGGCCTCTCTGCCAACCAGTGGAACACTTGACGTAAGGAGGATTGAGCCTTGTTTAGTGTAGTGAACAGGAACATGTGTTTCTTCACTTATCCAATGAATGCCTCTCCGAACAGAAGGCATTTGGCTGCCGGTCCAAGCTTTTTAGTAGCCATGTTCATCAATTTATTATCAATGCGCAGCAGCACAGTTTGGCGCATCTCGGTACAGAGGGCCACATTTGTGTTCCCCAATAAGCATTTGCTGCATTGTGCCCATTCTCTGATGGCATGTAGGTCAAGTTGTGAGCCCTGCGATAGGGCCAGATCAGTAAAGTAAAGTATCTTTGCTACGGGACCAAGCAGTTCCAGAAGTTTATCTTGGACTGCTTCTTTCCGCCCCCTTACATGGATACTGCCCCGTTCGGGAAATAAAGATGACCATTGTTTGGTCGAATTCAGGTGTAGTAGCGATCTTATGTGGGAATGAGGGACGTGGGCACTCCGCTAGTAGACGAGCTCTATCTTCTCAGTCCAAAGGTCTCCCAATCCAGAAATGGATAAAATTAGGCAGGTGGATAGGAAGGCTTCGAAGCCATGGCATCCTCCTCACTGGTAGGTGTCTGGCTCATGGCCTGATTAGAGACCTCAGGAGGAGATTGCAGAAGTATTTTGGAGAGTGCCTTCTCCACTGAAGCTGCAACAGCAGCATTGACCATGGGCTGAAAGTCCTGTGTGGACGATGGTGTATCGCTCATGATGGAGCGTAAGATATCCTGTGGGAGAGAGGACATATGTATTAATAGCCAGTCGTTGGCAAGGCCTGATTGGGGCAACAGCCTGTACGATTGGGGCTCACCTTCGTTAGAGAGGCATAGCTAATCTGATAGTACAGAGGTGTCACTAAATTAAAATGAGGGATGTACCCTGAACGGCCGGACGTAGTGATCTAACAGATAGATAATGGATCAGCGCTAAGTAATCTAATAGAGGCTTAAAACAAATGGGGAAGCAGCAACCTATAAATATGAGGTTCCCTCAAATACCCTCAAAGAAAAGTAAACAAACAAAAAATGGTATATAGGTCGCGCTATAAGAACAGAAGGATAATATATAAAAGAAATATATATGTAAAATAAATTAAAATAATAGTCCCAATATTTGATCAACCTGTAAAGTGCTTGGATATGAAGTGAGTCCAATAAATTTCTGAATCTTCTAGTGCTGGAGATGTCTTGGTTCACAATTGAACCAAGACATCTCCAGCACTAGAAGATTCAGAAATTTATTGGATTTCTGAATCTTCTAGTGCTGGAGATGTCTTGGTTCAATTGTGAACCAAGACATCTCCAGCACTAGAAGATTCAGAAATTTATTGGACTCACTTCATATCCAAGGATGTAGTGATCTGCTGATAGTTTAGGGACCGAAATACTGAAAGAATGGGAGGCGATGATAGCCACCAAAAGGTTCTGAGCCCTTTATTATCCGTATGTGTGTCAGGTACCACTGAACAGTCCGAGAGAGAGAGTCCGATGATAGCCACCAATATGTAAGAGTCTGAGCCCTTTAATATCAGTATATATGTCAGGTACCACTGAACAGTCCGAGAGAGACACTTAGGTAGTGTTGTACCTTGTATGGGCTCACTTCAGTAAATGTATTTGTGTGTATGGCTATTGAGTCCTTATTTGATTAGCTCATCCCAATGGTACTGCAGGGGTCACCCTGTGTACTTGTGAATAATCTGCCCCACCAGGCCATATAACAGCAACAGTACAGTATCACCATGAAAACAGTAATTACACAGAAAGATCAAAAGTGAACTGAAACAGCTAGGGTCACAGAAAATATCAATAAATCAGGGAAAGAGCAGAGTACTCTGACCTATGCACAGTAGAAGCAGCAAAGAAAGAGGAGGAGTTTTGGGTGTTAGAGTCTTATTTATGTTTGGATACTTTGATTTGATTGGTTTATTTCTCTTGATCTGTGCTACTGGAGATTTTAGTAAAGAAAAATATAAAGCCTCCTGTCATGTGGTAAAACTATGTATATTTCTATATATGTATATCACTAGTGGATAGACAGACTACACCCCCTGTGCCTACATGGTAAGTGGTTAATTTTATTACTGTTACTTACTGGGTACATAAGGGATAAAATTATATCCACAGTATTTATTTCAATAACATAATTTTTTTACTCTACAAACATAATGTGCTATTAAGAACTTGATGGATGAATGTCACTTTTCAGTTATGTAACTATGTAAGAAGGGACATAGCTGTTAACTATAGTATGACACAGATTGGTACCAAAAACACCATTAAAGGGACAGTCTAGGACCATAACAACCAAAACTAACTATGGTTCCAGGAGTTCCTAAATCTACACTAGATATATTAATTATGTCCCTATTTTAACCAAATTCATAATTCAGTTTCAGCAGATGCTCTCAGACAAATAATTATGTCTATTTATGAATATACTGTATACATTGGGCATAGGAAAACAGTCTAAATGCATCAAATGCAACAAGTTCTCCATTTAATCACAGTAAACACAGTCAGGGTTTTTCCACTAGTGAGAATTCAAAGTGAATTTCAAATTTAAGGTAAAAATGCTGGAAAAATTCTCTAATTTTGCTTTTTAGTTCAGCTACTCTGACCTTAAAATTGAAACTCCCTTTGAAACCACTTTGAATTATCACTTTAGTAAATAGTCAAAGTGTGAATGTGTGAACAATTGGTGAAAACAGTAAAAAAAAAAAAAAGGAGTACCCAGATATATTCTTGAGCTTCAGGACAATAAGGGACATAAATTGTCTGTGTGCAAGTGACTTAATGAAGGTAAATGAGATTGGTGAGACGCGACACATCAGTAAATTATATAAAAGTCTTGCATCTATTTTTGGTCTGTTTCTATTTTGGTTAAATGTATGCAGGTCTGATGTGAACTATGTCTATTACAATTCAAGTACCTTAGGTATGTCTTATAAATGGTGTAAAATAGGCTGTAGGTGTAGAACTGCTTTTTTGACGATGCTTTGCCATTCTAATGTTCTACAACATTTGAGGAAATCTTGTCTAAAATATAGCCAATCATCCACTAATTGACTTCTTCCTTCAAAAATAAGAATGTCAAAGACTGTCTAAGCACATTGCTTATGTCAAAGAAAATGTCCTATTCAATAAACTGTTGTATTACTTTCATTATGATTATGTAATAGATATGCAATTGGAAACTAATATAAATTTTGTAAATTAGTCAGAATATTATATCCATATCTAGTAGTCCAATGACTTTAAATCCACTTTTAAAGTCTTAAGTCTTCTACTGGTAGCAGATACTAGTACAGGGAACCACTCTGTGTTTGCCTAACTAGAGTTGCAATATATTCAAGGTTTTTCACTAAACCAGGAATTATCAGGATTTGAGTCATTACCTCTGGAATTAAGACAAATACTTCTGAAATTAAATTAGCACAGATGTTTTCAAATCCTATCATAAATTCCCCTCTCTGGTTTTCCAGCAAATCCTGAAATCTCTAAAATGGAGTTACTGACTATACTCCAGCACATTTAGGATATGGTATTTTTAGCTAAATATTCTTGAGAAGTGATTAGGTTGTGTGAAATTGTGTCTGTTATGGTAAAACTACAGTTCAGCACACATTTCTGTACTTTTTCTTTACCTTCTAGAATGTGTTTATTCGTTGAAGTGCAGTAGATTAAATCCTGTTTTTTAGTAGTTGAAAGTAGCACGCTACCCAAGTATCCCTATTCAGGAGGAACAGTCCCTATTTAGAAGTGCAAATCACTCATTCCTTCTTTCCATCTTAATACCGTTCTTTTCTGGAAGCCTCATATTGCTGGTGTGTCTGAGTGCAGTGGTGTATTTTGGATCTGTTCTGCCCTAGGCATGAAGGAACTCGGGCACCCCCCTAATTTACATTTGCCCTGCCCCTTCATGTCAAGACCACCACTTTTCCTGTTAAAGACTAACACACACGTTGACTGACAGACACACACAGACACACACAATCACTGACTTTCAAACACTCTCACATACACTGACAAACACACACAATCACTGATTTGACACAATCTGTCAGACACACATACACACAATCACTCACTCACAGATACACGGACACACACACTCTCACTGACAGATACACTCACTGACAGACATGCACACACTCACTGACATACACAGATAATCACACATTCACTCACAGACACACACATGCTCACTCACAGACACACACTGACAGACATACACACACTCATTCACAGACACACTGACTCACAGACACACACATACACTCACACACCCACAGACACACTGACAGCTATACACACACACACACACATTCACTGACAGACACACACTCACTGACAGACTCACTCACAGATACACTGTCACAGACTAACAGGCAGAACACACTCACTCATAGACAAACACACACTGACAGACACACACATACACACTCACACTGACAGTAATACACACTCACTAACAGACAGACAGACACACACACACACACACATTTCCACCCAACACTCAGATAACTGTTATTTTTTTATTTTATTTTCTTAATTTAAATCCACCCACCTGCCTACCTTTGGGAGGTGGTAATTTTTAACCTGTGGTCCAGTGGGGCTGCTGGGCTAGCTGAGGCCGGGCTGTTGGGTAGACAGGCAGGCATATGGGCGGGCATGCAGACAGTTGGCCTGTTCTGTGCCAGGTGGTAGGGCGCACCAAGCAGGCAGTGAGGGTGCTGAGCTCTTCCTGCTCAGCTCCCTCACGCGCCGCAGAGTAATGCCGAGAGCTGGAGTGACACATATTCCGGCTCCCAGCATTACTAGAGGACACTCTAGGAAGCTGAGCAGGAAGAGCTCAGCACCCTCACTGCCTGCTTTGTGTGCCCGACCGCCTGGCACAGAACTGGCCGCCTGTCACGGGGGGCCCAAAGGTGGCCAGTCGGCCAGCTCTTGGGTCCCCTTAAAATGAGACTAACAAGGTATTTGCCTGGGCATTTGGGAGCAGCGTTTTTTGCCACCCCCTGGAAAGTGACACCCAAGACAAATGCCTTGTTTGCTTGTGGAAGATACAGCGCTGTCTAAGTGTATAACTCAGTGACTTAGCTTTATTACATGTTTCCCAGAGAAGGCATTGATTATTGCCCTTTTGTTTAAATCTTTCAGATATTATTGCCAAAAGAGAGTCATGGCTGACAATATGTCAGGATTACTGTTTGATCCAGCACGTAGAACTGTACAGCACGGATGACAAATAAGTAACGTATTACCGGTCCTTAGAATGGCCGGATTTAACGTACAAAGAATATTCAAAAATACTAGCCGAGGTCAGGGAACACAGAAAGGGACACAGCGATGAGGAAAGCCAGGAGTCAGGATACCAGAATATAGAGAAGTCAATAAACAAAGCCAAAGTCAAAAACCAGGTAGAAAACTATAAACAGGAACGCGCTCTCAGACAACCACAAGGGAAACCACGACAGGGCACTGAGCAGGCTGAGAACTGGGCCTAAATACCCCTCCTTTCTTTCTGATAGGCTGTAACCGGCCTTTGACCCCAAAGTCAGTTACCAGGTTTCATTTGCATAATTGCTGCTCAGCATTAACCCTTTTGTGGATTAGGTTGCTGCTCGGCACAACTTTTCCTGTGTGGACAGTAAATGTCATTAACCACTTTTCTATAAGCGGATGAATACATGACACCAGGTTTCATTTGCACAATTACTGCTCAGTATTTAAACCTTCTGTGGATTAGGTTGCTGCTCGGCACAACTTTTCCTGTGTGGACAGTAAATGTCATTAACCACATTTCTATAAGCGGATGAATACGTGACATTACCCCCCACCTGAAGAACGCCCACCGGGCGGACAGGACCAGGCTTGAGAGGAAATTTAGCATGGAAAGCGCGGATCTTACGGCCTGCATGCAGGTCAGGAGCCGAAACCCAAGAACGATCAGCAGGACCGTAACCTTTCCAAACAACCAAGTACTGTAAAGTGCCCTGAGAAAACCTAGAATCCACGATAGAAGATACCTCATACTCTTCCTGACCACCCACCACCACCGGAGGGGGAGGAACACAAGGAACAGTATATCTATTGCAGACAAGAGGTTTGAGTAAGGACACATGAAAAGTGTTGGGAATCCCTAAAGATGCAGGAAGAGCCAGAGAGTAAGACACTGGATTGATCCTACGAAGCACTCTATAGGGACCAAGGAATCTGGGGGCAAACTTCATGCTAGGGACCTTAAGCTTGATGTTGCGAGATGACAACCAAACCCGGTC